TTCTTGTGCCCACTGCAGCCGACGGGACCGAAGTCCAGCCCTGACGCAAGGTGTCTTCATCCAACACTCTCTTTCCAGGAGTCTCAGCAGCGTTGTCCACCCCAAGGTCTGCCGCTGTGTCCCTGCCTGGCCACGGCCCCCCCCGGTGGCTCCCCTGAGATGTTGCCCCCTTGTAAGGTGCCTCCTAAGCTGACGTCCCTGGCAGACCATGCCATGGTCCAGGATCCCATGAGGGGTGGACCAAATGTGCCAGATGACCCAGGAGCAACCCATGGGAGTGAGGTCCCCTCTGGAAAGAGGGAGGTGGTGGGATCTCAGGGGCAGGGTTTCCTTCACCAGCACCACAGACCTTGGTCCCTCTGCAAAGCTGCATCAGTTGGGCTTCAGCCCATTTGGGAAGCCCATGACCCAGAGCAGATGAAACTTATTTCCATTTAAGAAGGAGAGTCTGTCTGGTTCAGTTGAAATTCATTCCCCACCAGCTTCGGCAGCATTGCGTGAGGTCTGCTTTCAATCAGAAGAGGAATGTCTGCCCAGGCGTTGTGCTACACAAGCAGCCTGAGTTTTGGTTCCCCGGGGCTAGCCAAGGCCAGGCCTGGGGGGACACGCTCCCAGCGTTGTCACCAGCCTGGCCTGGCTCTTTCCAGCTGTGTTAAGGATGCGGAGCTGGAGGGAATCCCGGAGCGGAGTCTCCCTCTGCTCCTGGCATTTGCGAGTGAAGGCGCGTGCCAAGCTCTCAGGCAATGGCTGGTTGATTAAATCAGAGTCCCACTGTGCCCCATGCAGGCTCACCACCTCCTCATGACCACCAAGCAACCACGCAGTGCTTCAGAGCTCTCCTTCCCTGGCACGGCAGGACCCAGCCAGGCAGGCCATGGGCAGCGATGCACCCCTGGCCTGATCCAGGGAGGTTCTGGTGGGTTTATAGCCCCTTTTAACTCCTCCGGCATGTTTTCCTTCAGCCGGTTCCTGCTGCGGCATAGCCGGCAGCTCGCAGGGCTGCAGGTGCTGCCTTGCCGTCCCCCCCGCAGCCCAGCCGAAAGCCAGGGCGTGTGGGCAGAGCTGGAGCATCAGGTTTGCACGCAGCTCTCCTGGGAGCAGAGAAGCGGGGGGAGGGAAACCTGCAATAAGTGCAGAGCATTTATACAGGCTTTAGGCTAAATCCTTGCTTCCCAGGGTGGCTGGCTGTAGCCAGCACTGCAAAGCTGTTTCCTAAAGTCTTGTTATTCCTTTTCAGGCCAGGACTTCACAGCTGGCAGCAGGGCTGTATTAGAGAGAGAGAGACAGAGAGAGAGAGAGAGAGAGAGAGAGCAGCATTGCAGCGCAGTGGGTAGTGCTGGTGGGCTTTGCTTCAGCAGCGTTCAGGGCCACAAGTCCAACATTCCTGGGCAGCTGGCTCGGTGGGGTCCCTGGGGGGGTCAGGACAGACTGGGTGCAGGGGAAGGACGGAGGAGGAAGGACACCTAGCTGTGCATGCGTGCACCTTCCTGCAGCACCCCATGGGATGTCGATGGGAGCAAAAATGGCCTAGAGTCATGTCAGTGACTTACGCCTACTGCACTGTGCACTTCCGAGGAAAAAGGGGCAGGAGTCAGGGCTTCCCCACGCTGATGCCTTCAGCCTTCGTTCCCTTAAAATCCCAGGGCTGCTCCCACTCTGACCAGGTTGCCTGGTGTCCCGAGGGTCTGGACACGTGGTCCTTTTCAGCCTCACGTGGTTACGTAGGCACTAAAGTTGGGAGCCCTGGGCAGCCCCTGCAGCTCCCCTTTGCTTCCTCGGAGCTCGTGGGCTCTCCCTGCTGCCCTTCCTGTGTCCCCCCCAAACTCTGGCACCCGGAGCACCTCTGGCTGCCTGGCGCCCGGGATGCGCCGGGGCCGGGTGTCAAGCTCGGCACAGGCACCGGGGCCTGTGACAAGGGGGCCCAGGCTGGCCATCCCCAGCGGCCGAGGGGTTGGATTTGGGGTTTGAGCCTTAGCCTCGGAGATGGTTAGCGGAGTCAAGGGTGGGGATCTGCCATCAGCCACATCCCACACGCCTTGGAGCTGGAGCCTCGTTTTCTGCCTTCACCTCCCACTCGAGGATCGGGAGCCAAGTACATTTCTCATTGCACCCGGCGTGTGCGGGGAAGCGGAGAGGCAATGTGGGAGGGCAAAGGGGGAGCAGGAGAAGCCGGCAGCAGGGAAGAGAGAAAACGGGCAGGCGCTTGCAGCCCAAGCATGAACACGGGCTGGTGCAAGCAGCGGTTCAAAGAGCCTGGAAACCCATGGTCACCTCCTGCAGTGGCGAAAATGGAGAATGGCTTGAAAATGCCCTTGATCTCTCCCTGCCGTGCGCAAGCCGAGAGAGGAGCAAGCTCTGCCTGTGGCCAAGGCTCGCTCCATGCAGCACTTTGCACAAAAGGGATCGATCCTGCCCAGCACTGTGCACTACCAGAGCCCAGCATGACATAGTCGCTGTGGGCGATATAGACTGGCTGGGGAGTTATAAGACAATGCCAGCTGGCTGGTGGTACAGCCCCCTGCCAGGGTTTTGCAGCAAGGGTGTCAACAAAGCGTCTTTTCCCTTCCCTTCTGCAACAAGTCACATCCTACCCCTGAGCCTCCGAGAGCAATAGCTGCAGGAAATAGTGGAAACTGGCCACAGCCACGCGACACCATGAGGCTGTGCTCGTGCCCTGATTTATGTCCGAGGTCTGGGACCGGACAGAGAAGTTCAGGGTTGTTGGGTTTTGTTTGGGATCTTCAGCCAGGTGGTTCGTGTGGAACATCTCCACCACCGTGTTGGTCACGGTTGCCTGTTTGCTTCCTTGTGCTGGTAGGAGTCACGCATATGCAAGTCCAGGTGGGCTCATGCCAAATCCAGAGGCAACGTCTCCGCAGAGGGGGCAAAAGCAATCTCCCTATGGAAAGGCTTGGGGACTTCTCATTTTCTGCTGCTTGCTCAGCTTTCAGGATGCTGTCACATGTGTTTTTAATGAAAATTGAGACTCTTGAATCAAGATCCCTTCACTCCTAAAGGCAGGGAGTGAGGCAAAATGCCGCTGCAGCCAGGTTTACTGTATAGCTAGACACAAGACTATGAGCAAGGTATTGTCCGAGATACAAGGCATGAAAGCTTCTAAGAGAAGAGCCCTTTCTCTTTAAACATGCAGCAAATAAATGTTCTACCTAGATAATTGCATGAGCTCTACTATTATTTGTCATAATTTGCATTTTTCCTTTCCAAATGTGCTAACACCGCATTGCAGTTTTGCTCTGACTTTAAACTGGATTTAAATGCAGTGCATATTTCCCTGCATTTTCAAGGCAGGATGAAAGGGTTGGACATGTGAACCATCCTGAGCTGATGGAACCATCCTGAACTTCTCATGGTGGCCGCCTTGTGCCATTGCATCTCATATTTGAGCTCAGGCTCAGCAGTGCTAATCCCAGTGGCTAACGAACAGCAGACAAGTCAAAGCTTTAACCTGGCTGATGACAATGTGATGGTTTTGAAGCCAGTGCTGTTGTGATGGAGGTGACCTGACTGATTCCTGCCTCCTGGACGTGTAAGGCTGCAGCACGGGCTCTGCTCACCGGCTGCTGCGGTCAGCAGCTCTCCGCTGGCGGCCCATCCGCCGAGCTGAAGGGGCGCCGCAGACGGTGCGAGGGCTCCCAGCCTGTCCCGGGGCCATGCCAGGGGCATTTCCAGGGGGGAAGCTGCGGGCGGCATCTTCTCGCTCCTTCTAGTCAGATCTGCCAGAGCCAATTTGCTGACACAAGGGTCAGCAAATTAATGCGATGATGGCTGAGGCTGGTTTTGAGGAGAAACAGAGCAAAAGCCTCGGCAGGTCTGCAATATCAGGGCTCTGACCCCAAAGATGCTCACGGTGAGCATCCTCCGCAGGGAGGCGATTCACACGCCAGACAGCTCTGCTCTTTACTCCAGTGCACAGCACGTTGCCCAGGGCACCGAGGACCCTGGGGACCCCGGGGAGCCTGGGGACCCTTCGAG